TAGGAGTAAGCATGCTTTATTATATTATTGTTATTTATATTTTAAAACTAATTTTCATTAATTTAACTAATTAATTTTGTATTTAAAAATAATTAATTATAATTATAATAATTAATTTAATTACAATACTTAATTATGTTTATTAATTAATAATAATTAATAAAATTAAAAATAAATAATTTTAATTAATTATAGATAATTTATATAATCATAATAATTAACTATTAATTAAAACTAATTTAATTAACTTTTAAATAATTGTTATTAAAAAAAATTAATATATAATTAAAATATTTAATTATAATTAATTATCAATTATAATTAATTACTCCTTTAAATAAGTATAATTAAAAGAAATATTTTTTAATTAATAATAATAATATATAATAATAAAAAAAAACAAAACCTCTCCCTCTCTCTATCTCTCTGTTTGACGGATTACGGGATTTGGCCGAAGAAGCATGCGAAAGGTTTTGCCTTTACAGCAAGCGAGCTCCTGTTCGTGCTCCCGATCCAACGGCCAGGGAATGCCGTCGAATGGGCAAAGCCGAACAACCATGAAGGAACCGGAGAAGTGTTTAATAGGGAGAAAGTTACCTTCAGGCAAGCGAGCTCCCGTTGTAGTTTCCGATCAAAATGACTTAACTTCCGATCCGGCTGGAAAGGAAAAGTCGTAGTAGCGGTGTCGAACAGCCACAAACGGAGCCGAAGGAGCGACGTCGACCAGCCACTGAGGCGCCTGGGGGAGCAAAGTCGAACGGCCAGGTAAGAGCCGAAGAAACTTCACAGTCCGGCGAGCACCTGCTCTTCCGTCCGATCAAAATGTTGTGACTTCCGAGCCGATGGCAAGGGAAAGTCGTCGAAGGATCGGCGTCGAGCAACGAAGAGGGAGCCGGTGATTTTACGGGATCTGACCGAGGAAGCAGGCGGAAGAGAGAAAGTGACCTTCACTGCTAGTGAGCTCCGACGCTTGCTTCCGATCAAACTGTCGTAACTTCCGTTCTTACAAGAAGTGGGAGTCGTAGAAGGAGCGAAGTCGAGCAGTGACGAGACGAGAGGGAGAGCGGGCGTGAGAGTGAGGGAGAGGCGATTGCGAGAGTCGTCCCGAGCGCCTCGTTTCCTCGTCATTTAACGACGAGCAGCGACGTGCAAAAGGTATTGCGAGATGCGACGTCGTCGTGCGAAATGCGGCGACGACGTGCGGAATTCGGCGCTCGAACGTGGCCGGACAGGTATGAGATTATTTTATTTTTTTTCTTTTTGTTTTATACAGCAGGTCAACAAACCTCCATAAAACACCTGATAACAACTCCTTTTGCTAGCTATGTCAAGTTCAATATCAACTCGAGAAAAAGAGCAAGTTGAGATATTGACGCAACTAAAATCAAAGTCTTGTAGTTGATAGTAAACTGACTTAAAACTAGTTTCAATTAAGTTTAAATTTGATATAGAATTGCCAATCCTTGCCACTCAATGAGCTGAATTCATTGGTTTTCAAACTTGGTGAACAATACATATGTTTTTTAATAACATGATCGCCTAGTTGCTAACCAAAATACCAGAATAAATCATATGAGCAAAACACTATCATTCACCACAACAGCAAAGAATCATTACATCTTCAGAACTTTATGTATGTTCTAGGATAAATTTAAGCTTCTTGTAAATAGATATACAATAACAAACAATTTATAATAATTATCTTTTTCTCAAATTAAAAATTAGAAAATTGTGCATTCTTATGTTAGTAGACTCCAGATTAACTGTCATGAATGACCAGAGTTCTTCAAGCGTTTATAAAGCCAGTTCGCAAAAAAACAAAGAAAAAAAGAATGAATCTTCAAGGTTTTCAAGCAACCTAAGAAAGAAAACCACAGTAAACCTTCATTGATACTAAAGGTAAGAATGGTAGAAGCAAATTACCTTTGTGAGATGGACAGCGTCCTGAAGTTGTTGTATTGCATCTTTCATGCTATCACCTTGAACGAGTATATCTTCAACAATGTCAAAAGCAATCTGTCAGAGGAATTAATCAGTTGGCTTTGTGAAAGTAGGTATCTTAAATATTTAAGGACGTCAGATCAACATATTGCAAACCTCACTTCTCTTCACATGAAGAGATAACATTTCGCTGAGTGCTTTGATACTCGAAAGAGAGCTACGTATCTGCACTGATGGCACATTAATAGATCACTAGAAGCATCCCTTTGGAATGGGATAAATAGTAGATAACTTACTTGCTCAACCAGATGACTCATTCTGACATTATTCTGCCAAGAAGTTTGCCGCAACAACATTGATTTCTGTAAAGAATAAAAAGGAAAAAAACGTGAATGTAAATAGAAAGCCTTCAAATGGACCATGATGCAAGTTCTCGGCACCAGATAAAATAGCAAGAAGAAGTTTAGCATTTTCCTAAGATGCAAAATAAGCAGGTCAGTAGCACATGAGGGTAACCACTAATTCTTCTTTCTCAGCTAAATGAAGGGATGGTTGGGTATTTAGTGCAAATGGTGAACTGGTTCATGTTTCGGCCGGATGTGTCAAGTCTTAAGTTGACCAATAAGCATGTTGCCTCAACCAATGAAGTTTGGGCTTGTGCATATTAGTGTGAATTTCCAACACCCTTATGACACAAGACATGCATGGGATAATAAACGGTGTGGTGGTATCATTAAGTGGAAAAGATATTATGGCCTTGGTAATGTGCTTTGAAGAAAAATATGACCCGCAAAGCATAAGGAAAAACCATTGTTATCATATCAAACATAGCCTTACGAGGAGTTATTTAGAAAATCCAAAGAGATGCACTTGAGGAGTTATTTAGAAATTTAAAAGAAACGATTAAAGTGTTGCTCCTTACGAATTTAAAGCTAGCACATAAAATTTGAATTAGGAATTTGAAAATATTAACTTGATTAGGCCAAAGAGATGCACTTGAGATTAACCAAAATAGTTCATTCAAAATCCAAGGGAATTAAATGCGAAGTACAAGTAACAAAACCCAACGTTTAACAACGAGAATTTCACCTTGGGGCCGTATCACTCAAAGATTGGTGGACTTTTGGAGGAGATAGAAGATCCAAGCGATGAAGGAAGTTACCACTAGAGAAAGGGCGCCGAAGAACCTCGTCGGAGGAAAAGTGGCCGGTGGGGAGGGATGACGTAGGTGGCCTTCGAGGCTCCAAGTGTGCTTTGAAAGTTGATGATCGTAGATGCTTGTAAGGATCGGGACGACTCTCTCCAAGTACTCTTCCACGGTGGTCTCGTCTTCAAATCCTACGTCGAAGCAAGGTGATCGTAGAATGTTGATGCTCCCGTCGGCGTTGAATACAAGACCCCACTCAAGCTCCGGGTCCGCCATACATGCTTGATGTTGGCAAAATTTTCAAAAGGAACGAACTTTGAGTGATGATGAAGGAGGAGCCTTGCGCCAAAAGAAGGGAGGAGGAGGTATGAGAGGCCGGCGGGATCTCCAAGGGGAAGGGGCGGCGGGTTCCAACAAGGAGAGGCTAGGGTTTGAAATTGCAATCCTAGTTAATTCCCTAATTAAATCTGAAATAAATTTCAGAATTAATGATGTTTGGAGGGAATTAAAATAGGATTTGAATTTGATTTCAAATAGGAGAGGGGCTATAATAGGAAACAACAAGGGGAAAGCCCATGAAAGGGGGCCGGCGGTCAATAGAGAGAGGGAGGGATTTGAAAACTTAAAACTGAAATAAGATTTCAGTTTTAAGTAAATTAGGAGGGAAAATTAATGTTGAATTAATTCCTAATTCAAGAGAAATCAATGCCTTAATGGAGCATTAATGGGGTTCCATCCAAGCATGTGGCCGGCGGCTTCTAGAAGGGGAATTTGGTGTGGGTGTAAGTGGGTGGCTTCTAAAATTGCATGCATGATGTTTGAAAAGGGTTAAAACAAAATCCATTTGAAATTAAAATTCGTCATGAAAACGAATTCAAAAACTTTCCTAATTTGAAAATTCTAAAATAGGAAAGATTTTGACATTCGAAATTCGAACTTCAAAATTTAGCTTCAAATGGAAGAGGAGATTGGGTCAATGGTTGGAAGGTTCCCGGCCGGATGGTGGTGGTAGGATGGCCGGCGGCTAAGGGGAGAGTTGAGGTGGGCGGGTTGGAGAGTAAGAGGGGAAATCGGGTATGGGGGATAGACCACGAGC